GATTACACTGAGTGCATTATTACAAACCTGAGTTATGTATTTCCCAGTTGTTTGCAAATGCTGCCTTTCTTTTTCTTTTTTTTTTCCATTTATTTTATTGCATTTTAGGTTTTGGGGTACATGTGAAGAACATGCAAGATTGTTGCATAGGTACACACTTGGCAGTGTGATTTGCTGCCTTCCTCCCCACCACCTACATCTGGCATCTCTCCCCTTGCTATCTCTCCCCAGCTCCCCACCCCGCACCGTCCCTCTCCTATTTCCCCCCAACTGACCCCAGTGTGTAGTGCTAATGCCTGAAGCTCATACATGTCTACATTTTTCTAGTTGATATTTTTTTGTGTGTGTGATGTGTGAACGCCAGCCTGAGACCATTTACAAAGCTTGTAGGCAGAGCAGAGGTTTTTTGGAGAAGTCAGTTCCCACCCTGAATGCACCTTCTATGTTGTCTCCAGTCGATGATGACAGTTTGCCACTTTGTTGCATACAGTTTTGATTATATGGCTGATTGGTTTCGGTCAGATACTCAAAACTGTACACAGCAAAAGGGATAGAACTGAGAGATGCCTCCCAGTAGTTTATCTCTTATTTCCTTCAGTCTTCAGAAGGGGTCAGGGATAGGCTGAAGAAAAAGGTCCCTGGAAATGATGGTCCATTTGGTTTTTTCAAACCAAGAGGAGTCATCTCCAGGTTCAACTAAGAGCTGGTTACATTGATATAGGTCAGGGAGAATATGACCCGAGGACAATTCTAAATTGTTCAGTAAATTTTCTGTTTTCTTTCCTTTCTGGGTGATGACATGTAATTCAGACCAACACCAAGGTTTTGGTTTCATCTGTAGGAGATCGCGGACTAATGAATCTTGATGTTACAGGGAGTTGAGGGGCGTTGAGGTTCGGTTGGCAGAGGACATTCTGGGAGAGAAGGATGCAGGAGAGAGCTGGGAGTGGGATACGGAATTGCTGTGGGGTTTTCCAGGTTAAAAACATGTTTCTGAAGGCATGATGTAGAAGCCTCAATGGTTTGAGTGAGGTATAAATTATTTCGCTATTTTTTGGCTTCTTCCTTAAATAAGAAGACCATAATGCATTTGAGAATTTTGTTCCTTTTTGCTCTGGGTGTCCCCTTAGGTGGATTAATTTGGGGATATCGGAGGAGCCCCAGAGGGCCATTGTAATTCCAGGTCTTCAGAAAAGTTTTGCCACGTGGAAAGAACACGGACAGTATTGGGACCATGTGGTGAAGCAGGATTGGAGGAACAGGGGTTTCAGTCGACTGAGAGGTTCCCGTGAGAGAAAAAGGCTCAAATAGAGATAACAGAAAGACGTCTCCAGGACCCAGGAAAGAAAATTTTCCGGGGGCCAGGGAATGAATTCCATTCAAAACAAGGAGCCAGGAAGAAGAACTTCCAGCCTAGGAGGTACCTTTCAAAAGAAACCTGGGACTCTAACCTAGCTTCTGAGAGTATATTCAGAATTGTAGGAATCAGGCCGGGCGCGGCGGCTCACGCCTGTAATCCCAGAGCTTCGGGAGGCTGAGGCGGGTGGATCACCTGAGGTCGGGAGTGTGAGACCAGCCCAACCAACGTGGAGAAACCTGGTCTCTACTAAAAATGTACAAAATTAGCCAGGCGTGGTGGCGCATGCCTGTAATCCCAGCTACTCGGGAGGCTGAGGCAGGAGAATTGCTTGAACCGGGGAGGCAGAGGTTGCAGTGAGCCGAGATCACGCCATCGCACTCCAGCCTGGGCAACAAGAGCAAAACTCCGCCTCCGAAGAAAAAAAAAAAAAGAATTGTAGGAATCAAAATGTGTCCTCAATGTGCCTCAACAAATGCTTGTTCAGGCGCTGGATGTGGAGTCCGATTCCCCACTAGATACCCAAACTGTAGCAGGTGGTTCCCATCTGGACCCAGTCGCCGCACCAGATCGCGATCGGAAACACCGCAGGACCTGAGTTAAAGTGGCGAAAAAACATTTTATTTAGTAACTACTGAAAGCAGGGAAGGAGCTGAGCTCTATTCCGATTTGGGCAGAGGTGATTTGGGCCTTTTAAAGAAACATTGAGGAAGAGGGGAGTAAAGGAGCTGAGAAATGTCGGAGAAGTGAGAAAGTGCGAAGGGGAGCTTCCGGATAGCGAAATTCGAGGAGGATCCTGGAGGGTGACCCCCCCAGAGAGCACGTGGAATCTTCCCACTCCCTCCGCGCCCTTGCCCTGCGCATCTCTTCCATCTGGCTGTCCATCTGTATACATGGAAATTTCCTTTATAGTAAACAGGTAAACGGAAATTTGCAACAGCTATGAAAATCTTCAATTTTCTGAATCCATTTTTTATGTTTAGTGGCGATTGCTTAAATGCCTCAGTTTTAAGTACCATAGCGAAAGGAATGCATGCGATTCCTAGATGAATGAATTGGAAGTACATTTAGGCAGTTTTTGTTTTGCTTTTTCAGACAGGGTCTTGTTCTGTAGTCCAGGCTGGAGTGCAGTGTCGTGAACACAGCTCCCTACCTACTCAGCCTCCTGAGCTCAAGCAATCCTCCCACTTCAGTTCAGCCTCTCGAGTGGCTAGGACCACCGGCGCCCACGCGCTACACCGCCCAACTAATGTTTATTTATTTATGTGTTTTTTAATTTTGTAGAGACATGTCTCACTATGTTGACCAGGCCGGTTTTGAACTCCCGGCCTCAAGCACTCCTCCTCTGCCTCAGCCTCCCAAAGTGCTGGGATTACAGGTGTGAGCCACTGCACCCGGTGATTTTGCAGTTTTTGGAAACCGTGAGTTTGATTCTGGAAGACTCCATGAAACAAATGCACTTCATGTGATTTCTCAGTAATGTTGATAATAGATTTACTTCTGAACCTCTTGGAAGTGTATATGTTAGAAGCAGTTCTCCACCCAATTGATATTGAATTAAATGGCTGTAAAATTACTGTAAGAAGAACTGAGAGCAGTACGGGAAATTTGGTAACTAATGCCGTGTTGTAAGCTACTCATGCCGATGTAGCATTACGTCATACAAGTATTTTCAGATCTAATTCAATACATCCAGTGGGGAATTTCACTTCCCATGATTTTTTGGCTATCCTTCTCGTAGTGGACCCCAGTTTTCGTTGTCAGAGTAACACAAGCACAGCTACTTGAAGGTCTTGAAAATGAGGTTAGTAAATATTCAGCTTTAGATGGGGGTTTTTCTGAAGTTGTTGGAATAGAATTTGGACTCAATTCAGATGCAGAACTGAGACTTGAATAAAAGATACTGTGAAAGTTCAATGAAAAAATTTACCTTCTTGTTATTAAAGAATATATCGCACATGAGAAAAATAGTTACATTATGTTTGATAGTTGTTCTTGAATGTTTGACACAGAAACTGTACAGGTAACTTCCACAATCGCCCTGAATCACTTTGAATCGATAAAAATTTTGTAGGAAAGGAAGTAGTGTCTTTCAGGCCATTGAATGAATTTGATTACTACTACAAACAAATCATCGTTATTAACAGCCTTTGAGGAACAATCAGATAAGCCATCAGCAGTAATTGCAGCACCTGGTATAGAAAGGCGAACTTGCCGTATTTCTCAGCAAATGAAAGAACATTTGCAACAACTTAGAGCTGGAGGGAGACAAGGTTTAAGAACTTTTCCCATTATTGGTGATAATGCATCTGAAAGTTTTGATTCTGATTGAAATGCTATATGGGTAATATATAATCAATGCCCAAATGAACGGACAAAACATACACTTTTGGCACTGTTAAGCACAATAATATAATTTTGGCCCTTTGGTATTGTTCTAGAATTAATTTTAATTCTAGGGATATTGCTCTAAATGTGCTACTTATCGCTTATGATTCTTCAGTGTGTTATGCAGGAAACAATATAGATATACTTGTGAACTGTTGTTTGTGATTTAAGCATATATATCAAATAATGTTTCTAGATTAAATGACTTTTAAGCTCCAAAGAAAAGAATACAAAGCATTGATCAATATAAACGTGATTAGGCCAGCTGTGACTGCTAGCAGGCAGTTATCTGAATTAGGAATCTATCCTCCCACAGAGAGTTGGAGACAGAGGCCTTATCCTTCTTGATGATTCTGTTTCGAAGGAATGGCTCTCAGGTCTTTGAGAGAGATGCCCCTGCATTACAAGAGCTACATATGTACAATTGCGAGGACTTTTTTGGTAAATGCCCTAAGAAAGAGAGGTCAAGAAGCTATCATCAGCTGTTTGATGGCTAGAGCACATCGTAAATTTTCCTGGCAGTGTTGAGCTTTCTCAGGCAGGCATTATTTAGGGGCCTGGGATCATTCTAGGGACACAGCCTGATGCTGTCAGAAGCCAAATTTTTTTAATCCGGTCTCAGTGCAGGATTTAGACAGGGTTTTCATGTGCCAACGGTTCTGCACATTTCCTTCTCTGCCGCTAGGCACTGTGCGTATGATCCATATGGGAATCTACACAGTGTGGTGCTCTTCATGGCAATCTATGGGACAGCTCAGGGAGAACTCAGCTTTTCCAGCCCCCCAGTTTTAGGTTGGAAAATCATGGTAATACCCATTAAGACACAACACAGGCAGTAGCCAGCAAGCAAGCTGCCAACATTGGTGGTGCCCTCTCTGGCAGTGGCTGCTGTCTGCTGGGCCCAGTTTCTAAGCCCAGGGCACTCTACAAATTCATCATCTCCATGTGGTTTACATGACCTACCTTGTTGGCTGTGCTAACTATTCTAAAAATATACCCTAGACTTGTTTTGAGCAGGTGTAATAAGGCACACACACCAAACACACAAATGATCGCCAGGAAGCAAGACTTTTTTTTCCTTTTTCTTTCTTTCTTTTTTTTTTTTGAGATGGAGTCTCGCTCTTTCACCCAAGCTGGAGTGCAGTGGCATGATTTCAGCTCACTGCAACCTCCACCTCCCGGGTTCAAGCAATTCTCCCTGCCTCAGTCTCCTGAGTAGCTGGGATTACAGGCACATAGCGCCACTCCGGGCTAATTTTTTTTTTTTTTTTTTTGAGTCTGATCTTATTTATTTGTTACTCAAAAAATCTTATTTATGACTGGATTCAGACTTAGAAGTAGAAGCTCGCAGAGACGAAAGTCTGCGTCTCTTCGCAATTTGTTCCTGGCGCTTCTCTTTAGCCTCCTTCATTCTCTTGGCCAAAAGTTTAGCATATTCTGTGGCCTCTTCCTTGTTTTTCTTAGTACTCTGCTTCTTCAGAGCAATACACCGCCGTTTGTGCTGCAGGACATGTGGAGTAACAAGACGCTGAATCTTGGGTGCTTTAGTCCTAGGTTTCTTACCTTCTTTGTTTAAGGGCTTTCTTAAAGCATATTGGTGGACATCATCTTTAGAGAGATTGAAAAGTTTGCGGACTCTGCTAGCTCTTTTGGGCCCCAGGCGACGAGGCACGGTGGTATCAGTCAGTCCAGGAATATCCTTCTCTACTTTTTTTACAATAACCAAGTTGAGAACGCTCAGATTGGCATCCACGATGCAACCACGGACTGATTTTCTCTTTCGTTCTCCAGTTCTCCTTGATCTGTAACAGGAATGCCCCTTACTCAGTAGCAGGCGGACACGGCCATGAGTCAAGATACCCCGCTTCATGGGGAAACCTTGTTTGTCGTTCCCACCACTGATTCGGACCACATAACCCTTCCGTTCTTCACCCAGAGCGTTGGCAGCTGGGTGAAGACGCTGACGCTCTGGGTGAAGCTGACGCTCTGGCGACAAAGTCTGTTGCCATATGCTTCTCATAAAAAGCACGAAGTTTGCGTTCGTCGTCCACTTCAATGAGTTTCTGGCAGCCAGTGGTTGGAAAGGAGATGTTCAGCTTCATCTTGAAGCAGCTATACGCCTTCCAGGCGCCACGGAAAAGAGGCAATTTTTTATTTGTAGTAGAGATGGGGTTTCACCACGCTGGCCAGGCTGGTCTGGAACTCCTGACCTCAGGTGATCCACCCGCTTTGGCCTCCCAAAGTGCTGGGATTACAGGGGTGAGACACTGCGCCTGGCCCACAGACAATTTTAATTTTTATTTATTTATTTATTTTTGCAACGTAGTCACGCTCCATCTCCCAGGCCGGAGTACAGTGGCGTGATCTCAGTTCACTGTAACCTCCGACTGCCAGGTTCAAGCAATTCTCCTGCCTCAGCCTCTTGAGGAGCTGGGACTACAGGTGCGCATTACCACACCTGGCTAATTTTTTGTATTTTTAGTAGAGACGGGGTTTCACCATGCTGGCCAGGCTGGTCACAAACTCCTGATCTCGTGATCTGCCCACCTTGGCCTCCCAAAGTGCTGGGATTACAGGCATAAGCCACTGTGCCTGGCACATTTTTTATTGTACCCACAGTTCCCAAGACACGGGAGGCAGGCATGCTACACAGGGCCACACAGGAAAGTGACAAATTGGGGTGAGCAAATGTAGAGAGAGGGGAACTGCTGGCAGCGCCTTTATTATGAATTTTTCAGCAAAGAGTGGGCGAAACAGAGTAAGCAAGTGGTGCAAATTTAGGATTGGATAGTTTTCATGGTTTCAGTGAATTCTGGGTTATGGGGTGGGTCCCTGGTGGTCTAGCACCTGGCGCTATAGTACATCGGACAGGGGATAGTGTCCCAGACTGTAGAGCTCTTTTAAAGGAGATGGCTGGGAGTGGTGGACCGGGGATTGGTTGGTTTGCATAGCAAAGGCGTGCTGGCAGGCAAGTTGTTATCTCTGAGAATTAGTTAAGCCTGAGATAGGTGGTACCCATATCGAAAGGCTCTAATTGCATCACGAATACAGAAAATAAGAACATATAGTTAATCCAATTGGACTTGTACTGCTCTAGCATTACAAAATTTTCTGGAGCCCTTTCCATGTCATAATATTTGAACACTACCAATTAGTTTTAAAAAATAGGATCTGTAGAATTCACAGCTTCCTAAATTCTTCCTTATAGAGTTACTCTATTTGAATATAAATTGCTTTATTGTTGGAAGTTAACTAGTGAAAATGTCTGTGAGTTTAAATAGACCTGCTCAATAATATAGTTTTCATCTTGATGACTTCATTGTATAAAATGGCGATAGGAATTCTTTCAAGTTAAATCTTTAGAGGATATAAGCTTAGGATGATCTTTGAATTAAAGAAACAAGTGTTTGGTTCGTAGCACTGTCAGCCCCAACTATCACCAGATGTTGAAAGCACTATCTTTGAGAGCTACCGATTGTGTTTCTACTAGCAAGAAGAGAGAAAGGAGAAGAAGAAAACGGGTGAGTAAAAAAGAAAAAGAAGTAGAGAAAGAAAAAAAAGAAAGGAGTAGAATATGGCAAGAATTGGTAGAGAATTATTGGAAATGATCACTCCAGCTATGTCTATATGAAGGAGGTGTATTACAAATGTATCTATACAATGTAAAGTGGAAAAGATTAAGAATACGATGTGAACACTGTAACTGAGAAGTTAAAATCACACTATGCACAATTTTAAATTCACATGGGGGAAAATGTTATCATGATTTTATACTTGTAGTTCCTTGCCCCTGCAATTCCTTTGCCCACATCTACTCCTGATAAGCAGAAACAACTATTTTTAAAATTTTACTTTGAACTGGGCGTGGTGTGGCTCATGAGCATAATCCCAGTGCTTTGGGAGGCCGAGGTGGGAGGATCCTTTGAGGCCATGAGTTAGAGACCAGCCTTAGCCTAATAGCAAGACACTGTCTCTAAAGAAAAAAAAATTGGCCCGATGTGGTGGCATGCACCTGTAGTCCTAACTACTTGGGAGTCTGAGGCAGGAGGATCGCCTGAGTCCAGGTTGTAGGCTGCTGTGAATGACCTGTCACTGCACTCCAGCCTGGTTGACAGAGCGGGGCTATGTCTCTATTTAAAAAAATTATTTTGTTCTAGGTGGATCATCTGTATGTTTACGTTAAAAAGAGGCTTATATAGCTATTTAGTGATTTGCTGACTGCAGACATTACATTATATATTAAATCCGTACATGACAGATGAGGAGTTATTAATAAGTCATTTGCACAGGTCTCCCTGTGTACTCTTCTCCCTACACTTATACTCCCATTCCGCAATTGTCTACTGTATATTTCTGCAACTTAAAGCCATATACTCTTTCTTTCTTGCTCTCTCTCTCTCTTTCTTTCTCTCATTCTCTTTCTTTCTTCTCTTTCTCTTTTCTCTATCTCTTTCTCTTTCTTCTCTTTCTCTTTCTCTTTCTCTTTCTCTTTCTCTTTCTCTTTCTCTTTCTCTTTCTTTCTTGGAGTTTTGCTCTGTCACCCAGGCTGGAGAGCAGCAGCACAATCTTCACTCACTACAGCCCCTGCTTCTGCCTCCCAGGTTCAAGCGATTCTCCTGCCTCAGCCTCGTGAGTAGCTGGGATTACAGGCATCCACCACCATGCCTGGACAGTTTTTTTGTATTTTTTAGTAGAGATGGGGTTTCACCATGTTGGTCAGACTGGTCCCAAACTCCCAACCTCAAGTGATGCTCCTACCTCAGCCTCCCAAAGTGCTGGGATTACAGGCATGTGCCACTGCGCTCAGTTCCTTTTCTTGCCTCCCTCCCTCCCTCCCTCCCTCTCTTCCTTCCTTTTTTTTTTTTTTTCAAATAGTTTCACTCTGTTGCCCAGGTTGGAGTACAGTGGCACACAATCTCAGCTCATTGCACCCTCGATCTCCTGGGCTCAAGCAATCCTCGCATCTCAGCTTCCTGAGTGGCTGGGACTATAGTCAGGAGCCTCTGTGGCTGCCTGCTTTTTTTTTTTTTTTCTCTTTTTTGAGACAGATTCTGGCTCTATAGCCAGGCTGGAGTGCAGTGGCACGATCTTGGCTCACTGCAACCTCTGCCTTCTGGGTTGAAGCAATTCTCTTGCCTCAGCTTCCCAAGTAGCTGGGACTACAGGTGCACGCTACAACGTCCAGCTAATTTTTGTATTTTTTGTGGAGATGGGGTTTCACTGTATTGGCCAGGATGGTCTTGATCTCTTGACCTCATGATCCACCTGCCTTGGCCCCCTAAAGCGTTGGGATTACAGGTGTAAGCCATGGTGCTCACCCAGCCTGCATTTTTTCATCAACATTTTTGTTCCAACAATCAATCAGTAAGATGAGGACATTTAACACTACCATCTTTCCCACTACCTTGCAAATGAAACTTTTGTCCGTCTTGCAGGAGAAATCAACAAGACAAATGGAGTTATTTTCTGACCATTCACATTAATTTTATTCTGATTTATTTATTTATTTATTTATTTATTTATTTATTTATTTATTTTTGAGACGGAGTCTTCACTCTGTCACCCAGGCTGGAGTGTAGTGGCGCGATCTCGGCTCACTGCAACCTCCACCTCACTGGTTCAAGCAATGCTCCTGCCTCAGCCTCCCGAGTAGCTGAGACTACAGGCGGAAGCCATCACTACCAGCTAATTTTTTAGTAGAGACAGGGTTTTACCATGTTGGTCTAGCTCATCTCGAACTCCTGAGCTCAAATGATCTGCCTGCCTCGGCCTCCCAAAGTGTTGGGATTACAGGCATGAACCACGGCGCCTGGTCCACATTAATTTTAAAATAATGATTTGGATGGGGCATATGCGTGAATCCCTTTATGCTTAAAGAAAACGTTTTACTTTTTAAAGAGCTAACATGGAAGGCTTAGGGGGTAAAAGCTTTATAATGACCTCACCTGACGGTGAATAGGTAGAACAAAGTCCACAGTAATAGAATTTGGGAAAAGAAACAGCCCATACTCTAAGCTGATGAAATCTAAATTCTTTCATGATTCAGCTATGAGATCTTGGAGTGCTTTCTAGACGCAAAAGAGCTGATTTTAGTGTCCCTTAAAAGAGGAAGAAGATGAAATAACACATACATAGCACTTTTTTTCTCCCTGGACCAAATATGTTGGGGAAGGAAATGGGGTTACATACAAACCCAATCCTGATCTCTAAGGTCCTCTAAAGATGTTTAGATGTGTAATGTGTTTAGATCTGTAATGGGTTAATAAAGAATTGAGGGGGAAATTACAACTTTTGGAGCTTAACCTTATGGATAACTAAGCTCTCCCACAAAATGTGCCCATTGCCACTAGACAGAAATTTTGATTGTGTGGATTGCTGATCTGATCCAGAATGGCACTCCCTTTGATGTTTTATGATAGTATCATGTTGGAAGAAAAAATTTGCCAACTAAACTATAACACAATAATTTCTTGTAATTTAATGTTTTTCTTTCCTTTTTTTGTTTTTCTCTTTGAGACAGGGTTTCACACTGTTGTCCAAGCTGGAATGCAGTGGTGCGATTGCGGCTCACTGCAGCCTCTACATCCTGGGCTCAGGTGATTCTCCTGCTTCAGCCTCCTGAGTAGCTGGGACTATAGGCATGTGCCACCATGCCCAGCTAATTTTTTGTCTTTTTTGTAGAGGCGAGGTCTTGCTATTTCCCAAGTTGATCTTGAACTCTTGAGATCAAGCGATACTCCCACCTCAGCCTCCCAAAGTGCTGGGACTACAGGTGTGAGCCACTGCACCTCGCCTATTATTATTTCATACTCAGTAAAATACATTTATTATACATCGATCTTGTGCATGCATAGAAAGGGAAATATAAGTAAAATTGGTTTAGGGATTTCAGAAACTAATTCATGTTCAGAACTCAACTTTTATTTAATTTTAATTTTTTTTTTAGATGAAGTCTCACTTTGCCACCCAGGCTGGAGTGCAGTGGTGCGATCTCAGCTCACTGCAACCTCTGTCTCCCGAGTTCAAGTGATTCTCCTGCCTCAGCCTCCTGAGTAGCTGGGATTAGAGACACACGCCACCACACCTGGCTAATTTTTTTTTTTTTTTTTTAAAGTATAGATGGAGTTTTGCCATGTTGGCCAGTCTGGTCTCAAACTCTTGACCTCCGGTGATCCGTGCTGGGATTACAGGCATGAGCCACCACGCCACCACGCCAGGCCCAGAACTCAACTTTTATGAATCGATTTTTTTTTTTTTTTTTTTTTAAAGACGGAGTCTCACTGTGTCGCCCAGGCTGGAGAGCAGTGGCACCATCTCGGCTCACTGCAACCTCTGCCTCTCAGGTTCAAGTGATTCTCCTGCCTGCCTCCGGAGTAGCTGGGACTACCGGTGCCACCACACCTGGCAAATTTTTTGTATTTTTAGAAGAGATGGGGTTTCACCAGGTTAGCCAGGATGGTCTGCATCGCCTGATCTCGTGATCTGCCCGCCTTGGCCTCCCAAAATGCTGGGATTACAGTCATGAGCCACTGCGTCATGAATCGCTTTTGGAACCAGTTGTCTATGGCTGTGGTTTTCCACCAAAGGTGTTAGTGATGCATCTAACCTTAAAAGCGCTCCAGCCAGGCGCAGTGGCTTGTATCTGTAATCTCAGCACTTTGGGAGGCGAAGGCGGGAGGATCCCTTGATGCCAGGAGTTTGAGAGCAGCCTAGGCAACAAAGTGAGAACCTTGTCTCTACGAAAAATAAAAAAATTTAGCCAGGCATGGTGGCACATGCCTGTGGTCCCAGCCACTTGGGGGACTGAGGCAAGAGGATCGCTTGAGCTTAGGAGACTGAGGCTGCAGGAGCAGAGTTTTGCGCCACTGCACTCCAGCATGTGTGACAGAGGGAGACCCTTTCCTTTCTCAAAAAAAAAAAAAAAGAAAAGAAAAACAAGAAAAAAGAAAGAAAGCATGCTGCACTATTTATGCAGGATTTTCTTTTCTTTTTTAAAATTTATTATACTTTAAGTTCTGGGGTACATGTGCAGATCGTGCAGGTTTGTTACATAGGTATACACGTACCATGGTGGTTTGCTGCACCCCTCACCCCATCATCTACATTAGGTATTTCTCCTAATGCGATCCCTCCCCAATCCCCCCACCCCCTGCTATTCCTCCCCTAGCCCCTCACCCCCCAGGCCCCAGTGTGTGATGTTCTCTTCCCCGTGTACATGTGTTCTCATTGTTCACCCACTTATGAGTGAGAACAAGCAGTGTTTGGTTCTCTGTTCTTGTGTCAGTTTGCTGAAATGATGGTTTCCAGTTTCATCCATGTCCCTGTGTATGCAGGATTTTCTTCCAGGCCAGCTTACCTTATTTTGCAAGTTTTGATGCTGGCGCCTGCTTGATCTCAACTGAATGTATCCATTATGAGTTTTTTTTTTTTTTTTTTTTTTTTCTTTTTTTTTTTTTTTTTTTTTTTTTTTTTTTTTTTTTTTTTTTTTTTTTTTTTTTTTTTTTTCCCTTTTCCCTCCCCCCGTCTTTTTTTTTTTTTTCTCTTTTTTGAGACAGATTCT